GGCAGGAGACCCGGGAAGCACAGAGGGAACAGAAGGAGGAAAAGGAGAAACGAGAGAGGCACAAAGCCAAGCGAGCAGCAAGACGCCGGAAAATGAGCATGATCGCAGCTCACAATTACGCCGACAGCGGCTTTACTGGAAGCATGCCAAACCTAGCCAGCTACCCCCAGCAGCAGTATCCGCCGCAGCCCCCGACCTTTCCTCCGCCGCCTGGCGCCTTCGCATACGGCACGAGCTCTCCTGTTCACTACGCTGATGACAATCCTTATGGGGCAATTGCACAGCAGCCGGGCTTTGTCCCTGCACCTCCTCCGGGGCCTCATATGGGTGTACCACGGGCCGAGACTCATTGAAGCATTTACGACGGTTCACGATTTCCTCATTACCCTTGCAATAACGCCCCAATCATGATCAGAAATCTAACCTCAACGGCCGCGTATGGGAGGGTACCTCCACTTTGGGGATGGAATTTTTTAGATATGGCAGCATAAGATCAAGCCAGTCTGGTTTGGCTACGATACCATGATTCAATGAAAAACAATTGATTTGATGTGATGAGGGACGCTGAGGACGACAACATGATTGATTGTGCGTCACTACTCTTTTTATCTGTCGTAGTTCTACCTGGAGCAGCCACGTGTCCGCTGCTTCAGTTCAACAATGGACTGCAGCAGATCACTGGGAGGTGTGGTCGCAGTCCTCAAGGTTGACTCTCCCACCTCACTCTCGGCTCTCCTTCACCTCGACCACATTTTGACCTATTGTCTTTCCATCCTCAACACTTTCATTTGAGGCGCTCAAGCCAGCTCCTGGTAAGTTACAATGCTCTTCCAATGCGCCAGCTTGCAAGCACTCCAATCCGCACACCTAGGTCGACCACTGACTCACTAATTAGCCACCGACAAGCACCACAACCCACCAACCTCAGAGCCGAATTCAATTGAATGCAAAAACGCTATTATACCCCTTCAACGAGGTCACTCCGACAAGCATCCTCCGCAGTTTGCGACACAGCATATTCATTTTTGGCTCGTGGATAAATCGCTCACATTGTCATCCCAATAGATTGGAAAATCAAGAACATCTGCACCCGGCACCAACATAGTTAACCTTTCCATGCCGACAACCTTGAGGCACGCATGTTTGCCACAGGTTTTGGAAGCAGAAGTTACTCAAGCCAGCGCGGCCTGATCTGCCCATCTTCTCGCTCTCCCTCGAGCCACCCCGAAGTCGACCGTCTTCAGCTATTTCGGGATGTACATCCTCGGAGAGGGACGCCGTCTTCGGCAAAAATGAAGCCAGGAGACGGACTGCGACCTCCCCGGACGGGCCCCCATGACTCCAATGAAGTATCGTCAGGTATGTCGAATGAGAAACGTGACGGACTTCTTCCGAACCCGGTCGATCTATGGCCCCCATACCCGCCATCGAAGCGTCCGTCTCGTGGTTGGAAGGTGTTCCCGGCAAACCTGAACCCAGGAGGCGGACGGTGAGCCCAACGAGGAGGGAGGTCATCATCAGGGAAACCGAACATAAATCGTGGTGGCTGTCTGAGATGTATATCATCATCTTGTCGACCGAACCTGCTCCCAGGAAAAAGGTCGAGATCGGCCTCTTCTACGACCAGTGGGGGTCTTTCGAACACGGGCATTCGCTCCAACACGATGGGTCGATTACAGACAGGAATCCCGTCAGTGTACGATGCGCCAAAGCGAGCCGCCACAACGACATCTGGACCACCCGGCGGATTGGGATACAATCCCGGCCAAGGAGCTCTTGGACCGAAACCGTTTCCTGCGGTACGATGTATTGGAAGCCGACCACCTCCGTCGAGGGCGAAGCCACTGAAAGGGTCTCGTCGAGTGTATCTTCGCCGGGTTTCCACGTGTCGTCGGCCGCCCGGACTCCTGGCCCGCCGGCACTCATCGATCAGAACTGGCCTACCTTGGCGGTTCCAGCGCTCCAGGTCTTTGGGTCGTATCGTAGGTGTAGAGTAGCTATTACCCATAGGCACTTCGAGTGGCTGGATGAAAACCCAATGGATAAGGATTCGACTACGATACTGTTGTTAGAAGGGTTGGGCTTCCTCAGTCGTAAGTTGTAACCTCGAGGTATCATTAAATCGAGGAGAGTGTCGGAAGAGCAGGTCTGGGCGAAAAGCAAACAATCATAGTTCCTGTGCGATTGCGACCGATGGATGACTTCACTGGCTGATAGGTGGCGCACGCAGACGTATCACGGTGAATGTGGTGTCGCGAGAGTGCCAATCACGCATGTTCCTTCCTTCCTGCCTTGAGGTGGGTGATGCGCGAGAGGAGACGTCTGGCCTTGTGATGCATTGTTGTCTTAAAGGAAGGCATTGGATACTATTTCTCCATCAGACCCGGGGGTTTCAAGTATCTAGACACTCATAGACCACCAGTCTTCTTCATCTACGAAAAAGGATGCCCCCTCATCGCGCTGGAGAGCTCGACGGTGGTACCGATGGCGTCGCAGCTACAGGCAATACACCGAACCTAGTCCGGACACACATCTCAGCTGATGAACTAACACTGTTCGACGACAGAACAGACGGCGGCGGCGGCGGCGGCTATCTGTATGCGTTCCTCTCATCCACCATATGTACCGGCCGTCCATCCGTCCGTCCGTTACATGTAATCCAGATGCAGGGATCTGTCTCTCTCCACGATATTCACTCGCACGCCGTACCAAAAGGGATCATCCACGTTGATGAAGACCTTTTCTCGAGATGTTTCCTTGGCGGCATGAGCGTCGCGCTGGCTCCTGTCTCCTCGGGCAGGTGGCCGTGACAATTCCTGCACCGTCTCGCGAGCAATATCGGTCGGGACGACCCCGGCGTAGTATCGATCATCCCAGCCCGGCGGCATGGGAGCAAGAGGCATCATCATCGGTGCCGACCGCGTGGTGTCCTGCAGTCTTGGATCTTCTCGTCCCAGCCCCAGACCCAGCTGCGTAGCGTAGAGTAGTGGTGGCGGCGGCGGCGGCCTCCCATGGTAACGGCGTCGTGCTCGCAACTCGGTCTTTTCATGCCTGTAGATGTGCCTTTTTGGAGACGGGACCGTTGACGTCCACATCGACGTCTGGCATCTATCTCCGTAGCGTGGCAACGTCATGCTCGGTGACGCTGATACCGATGTCATCGTGCCGCTGCCTCCTGCGTCACCTGGGCGACGAGACGAGTTTGAGGACCGCGACTCGACTGGACGAGTGTGACGACCAGAACGGCGGACGCTGTGCCGAGACTGAGAATCTCGACCATAAGAACGGCGAGATGGCCGCTCAAGACGTCGTCGTCCTTTCTGTTTCGGCCTGGTGAAGACGGTGCCCATGTCTTATCGACTCAAAGCATGGGAGACCGAGACCGAGACGTCACAGTTAGTTCCGAACAGCATGGTTCGAGGGAACGCGAAGGAGAAGGGGGGGGAGAGATGTGTTGTCTGTCTGTTTGTCTGTTTGCTTGTCTGTTTGTCTGTTTGCTTGTCTGTTTGTCTGTTTGCTTGTCTGTTTGTCTGTTTGCTTGTCTGTTTGTCTGT